TGCTTTAAGCACCATTATTTCGTTCCGTTATCATTCCTGCGACAAAAATGAAGTACTTTACCTACCACGATTCATACACCCCTCAAATTTGTTCAATCGCCCGAATTCCTACCGATTTATGAAACTGTGTAAAAGCTTATGCGAAAGTAAAAATTTAACCAAAGAATAAGTAACATTAAAACAACTATGTTACAGCAAATGCCCTCAATTACAATCTTACGGAGCATTCGGGCCGCTTTCAACGAAAACGAAATTTAGTAAATTAACAAACCTTTGAATTTCGCGCATGTTGCTAACAAAAAGACCGAGTGGTTTCAAGCGGCTGCGGCGTTTCAACTTGTACAACTTATCGGAATTCGCAATCGTTGTGACCACACCATATAAGGTGTCCGTTGGCACAACGACTAGGCCGCCCGCTTCAAAAACTTGCATGCAACGTGAGATCGCTATCTCAAAAGCTGCAAATATTTAATCATTCACAGATTTCCGGTAATAAATCGTTGCAAAAAAAAATTTCTGAAAAAATAAACGCAAATAACGGGTCAGTTGCCGCCCCTCTCTTGATGCGGCTTTGGAAACACTTCCTCATATCAGAGGCCTCCGATAATTTTTGCAGGAAGATTCTTGATACTTTTTTCACTGGCCAAACCAGCTATGAACCACAGAGAGACGCTTTTAGGCGGGCTGCAGGGCATGCAAAACTCGACGAACGTTTCATTTTGCCTGCCTTATAAATTCCCGATAATTAGAAATGCGGCAATCCTTGAACATACATTCGTAGCATATATGATTATTAGTAAAAGCAGAAGCTCGTTTCTACTAATTTTCAAACTTTCATTATAGAACTATGTCATTCGCGAAGCGCGCTGTGGTTTAGGTTTTCATCAGTCGTGAAGAAAGATTTGTTGCATGCAATTAATGAGGGTTCCAGCTGAACAAATGCCGAAAAAACATATTCCGGTAACGCATTTCACTGAATTTTCTAGATCATCTATTCATTCAGTAACGCAATTTCATAATCCCAAGCAAAATTTCACGCTCTTCCGCTACAACTCTGTTTCGTTCTGACTAAATTTTGGCAGTCAAAAATCTTTCTATATTTCATGCTTCAAATATATGGTAGCAGCTCTTGTACCTCAGCTAAATAATGAAGCTGTTACTGAAGTAACTCAACTAGGCAAGAAACAAAATATCAAGGAAGGAAACTCACTGGATTCGCTTAATCTTATGATTTTGTTCATCTCGTCGTTTGTAGTATCTTCATCGCCTGTTACTGTTGTCATCGTACTGTCGCTGCATTAAACGTTCCCCCAGAACATTAACTCATATCTCGCTCATTCAGCTCGTTGTTTCTTTTTTTTTTTTTCTAAATTTATTCATTAGATAAGCTAGCCTACCAATTGATCCTATCAGCACTATCAAGAAACCCCCTTAAAAGTAACAGGGACCGAAAATTCCTTCCCCGGGATTTTTAGCCCAATGTATATCTAACTGACTGGGCCCTCTCACCGAGTGGTATACAGAAATCGCACTTTTCGATTAGCACATGAACATAAAGGCTGGCAGAAGCGCGAAGCAACATGAAATTTCCTCTCTGCGAACTTCTCCTCAAAAACTTGCAAAAGTCTGATATTTCTTGCGTAAGTTCGACAACTGTATTAATAAATGCAAAATAAAATGAGTAGCAACCAAGACGATGCCGTAGAAACACGAGCAACTGCATGTTGTTGGAAATGACCGGAAGTTATTTATTTTAATTTTAATTTATCATATAAAACAGCAAAAAATCATGATATATTCATGGAGATCACATCCTACTTAAAAGGAATTCTGTGAAATTCTACTTTTGCTGATTCCAGTTTTGCCGAGTCTAAATTGTACAACCACAACAACAAAAAAAAAAAACTTCAAAATCCCACAAAAAAAAAAGAAAATTTAGTACCCCAAAATGCCACAACACCAAGGGGGAATCGAGAAACAGTACAAAGAAATTTAAAAAGTCATTAAACAAAAAAAATGGACTTGGCATGCTCAAGCGTTAGGTG